CTCTCTGGCTTGCAGTTGGCTGCCTTCTCACTGTGTTTTCACCTGGCCTCTTCTCTGAGTTCACATGTATAGAGAGAGAGGCTCTTTTGTGTCTCTTCCTCTTTTTTATAAGGACACCAGTTCTATCAGATTAGGGCCCTCCCTTTATGACCTCATTTAACTTCACCTCCTGAAATACAGTCATATTGAGAGTTAGGGCTTTAACAAATGAATGTGGGGGGAACACAACTCAGTGTATAACACTCCCAAATCATGTATATCACTCAAGTATTGTTGCAATAACACTACATAAAAATGACCTCAATGTCAGTGGCTTACAAAACAAATACATATTTTTCTTATTCATGGGTTTTTGGGTTGGACTGGATGAGGCTGATCTCAGCTGGTGTTAGCCGGGCCAGGATCCAGGCTGTAGGTCAGGTTTAGGTCCCCATGTCTCATTTTGGAACCCATGATAATAGGGCAGATACTTAGGGCATTTTTTTTCATGGCAATGGTAGAAGCACGGGCATTTTTTATCATGGCAATGGTAGAAGCACAAGAGTACAAAACCCAACCACATAAACACATTTCAAGCCTCTGCTTGCTTTACTCCTACCTATATCCCATTAGCTAAAACAGGTCGAGCCCAGAGTCAAGTGGTAGAAAAGTCATCTTCACCCATCCATGAGGCCACGGCAAGGATGAGAGTATAGAGTACTACTATAGCATGGTGAAGAATTGAGAGGTAGAAAAGTCATCTTCACCCATCCATGAGGCCACGGCAAGGATGAGAGTATAGAGTACTACATGGTGAAGAATTGAGAACATTAATTCAATCAGCCACAGAATATATGCTGGAGCACTGACTGGTTGCGATGAGCCTCAATTGGCTTCAAAATACATTCTTTTTCTGCAATGGTCCATGTGGGTTGTTAGTGGCAAAGACTGATGCTGCAGCTGCACCAAAAGTCATTGTCTCTCTACGGTGTGCTTTGATTGCCTTATATACTCCTCACATCACTTCTTAGGTTTCTGAGCCAGTGAACCCAAGGCTTGGTTTGAGGGTTCAAATTAATCACACTCCTTCATTCTACGAGCTCTGGGCCAATTGAGAAATATCACAGGGTCCTGGCATGAATTCAAAACAGTATTAGCTCTATTATCAGTGAGCTGCTCTGGACACAAGACTAACATGGTCTTCCTGCTATTTCCCCTCCTGATTTAAACTTACCTACCAAGTCACAGGTATCTTACCTAGACAGCATCTTGCCTGTTCGCTTTGCTTACTGCATGGGAAGAAGAAGAAAAGCTGGTCAGAATTAATCAAGTGAAGGAAAAGGGTGGGGTTAGAAGTGTGTTCAAACTGAAAAATAGTCTCTGCAAAGAACTTGAAGGCAGAAAGCAGAGTTTTTGGCAAATTGGTGGCTGTTGTAGTCTCCATGTAGTTGAAAGATTCACTATCCAGGTGATATAATTGCTGAAGAATCAGGCCCTTGGGCAATTTAGCCTGAAGAAAATCAGGCCCAGAGGGAACCTGAGAGTTTACTACAAACATAAAAGGGAAGAAGACTTAACTCCCTTAATTCACTCGTTCATTCAATATGTATTTGTTGAATGCTTCCTTGTGCCAGGCATACTGTCCTGCGTGTTGGGGATACGTCGGCTAATAAAATTGCCATATATCTGCCAATGTGAACCTTACATTTATGGCTGGAAGGTACAAACAATAAGCAAAATAAATAAGCAAAATATGTAGAAGGTAAGAAATGGTAAGGAGATAAAAATAAAGCAAAGAAGAGGGCTAGGATGTATTGGGGATGAGGTACGATTTCAGATATGAAGGCCAGGGAAAGTGAATTTGAGAAAAGATCAGAAGGAGATGGGGGACATGGTGCTCTGCACCATCAGAGCACTCAGAGTGCTCTGCACAGCGCTACCAGCAAGTGCAAAGACTTGCTATGGTTGAGTGCTGGGAGATAGGGGTTGAGGAATAGTAAGGTGGCCAGAGTGTGGGAGAGCAGGAGATGAGGCCAGGCAGGTAATGGGGATGGAGGTGAGAGGGGAGAAAGGGAGGATCAACTTGGACCTTGTACGCCATTGCAATGCCTCAGGTGTTTACTCTGTGAGATGGGAGTCATTGGAATGTTTTGAACATAAGAGAGACATGGCCTGTTCTACCTTTCACAGCGATGGTTGGGTTACTACACACAGACTGAAAGGGAGCGAAGGATATGACTCTATGTGATCCTGAGAAAACAGGGTCAGTGGGTAGAAGGGGTTAACTTTTCTAACTAAATAGCTAACTTATAACTTTCTATATCTAACTGACTAACTTACTAGCTAACCCTAATTAACTGACTGTCCGTGAGTGAAAATGGCTGCCTAGTCACCTTGGGCTGTCACTTGTGGTCACTCAGCAGCTTGTCACTTGTGGTCCCTGAAGATGTCAGAGATGTTGATGTTGGGAAATACGTACATTGAATAAGGCATCAGACCCTATGACACCCCAGGTTCTTTCCAACACTGAGAGTCTGTGATTATACAGCACATATCACCTCAGTCTTCCCCACCTAGAATGTAAGCTTCACGAACTTGGAGAATTTTGTCTGTTCTGTTCATTGCTTTATTCCCAGTGCCTAGAAAGTGCTGTATATGGCAGGCACTCCTTAAATACTTGTTAAATGTATGAATGTCTCTGTTTAAACTTATTGTGGTACCTTGAGCAAGATATTTCTCTTCTCTGTACCTTACAGAATAAAAAAAATTGGATTGGATGGCATTGATGATCTTTCCAGGTTGGCCAGTCTGTGATTCCTGGTTTCAAATGCTGAGCCATTGTTTCTAAAGGGCTTTGCAGGCTAATGGGTACATGAAGAGGCTCTTAGGGGGAGAAAAGACAGGGATAGGTAAGGGAAAACCTGAGTCAAGGAGAAGTACATGGGTAGCTTTTAGTGACCAGGGCTCCCTCTGAAAATAAATGTGAATTGTCTTCTTTGACACACATAGGGCTCTAATTCCAATTAGGAATGTTTCACTAGAAACTCAGGGTACAAGACACTGAGGATCCATCCCAAGCATGTTGCCTTTGCTTCCAGTGTGTGGGCCTGATCAACAAAGTGCTCTCAGTTCCCTGAAGCTCTCCTGGGAAAAACAGCATAAATTGCAGCAGGTTCCATTTATGGGTATCGAAAATACATTTTTAATCTTGATGAATTTCACAAATGACAACGGTGACATTTCTTTAAATAAATAGTTATGTCAAGGCACAACATTACCATGTGTCCCCAGACACCCAAGAGGCAGTGATTTCATGTCCCCCTGAGGTTTAGCAGAGCTGCCAATGTCAACAGGATGGCTGATAAAGCCGATATTTGCTGCCACATAAGCCAATGAGACATGCTATCATATTTATTGGATACAGAATGAAGTATAAAAAGATGCACAATAGGTAACTGCAATCAGCTTATTCTGCATTTAGCTTTAGTTCCTTTCAAACAGAAGCTATTTTTCAATATCAAGAAGGATGCAAATATATGTATATCTTCCAAGGAACCTCTCCTACAAATTGCTTTCATTACATGTTAAAACAAGTGGAGTTCAGCTTCATTGTGACCTAGGAGGAAAAATATAACAGTTAGAATTTAGTTACTTGTTGCCAGGCTCTTGACTTCTATTCTCTTATTTAGTCTTTATATTAATGCTAGGAGGTAGGTACTATTATAGACTTCAATTTACAGATGGAGAAACTGAGGTTCAGAGAGAGTTAAGTGACTGGCCCATGGTCGTGTAGAGGGCAGACACAGATCTTGTACCCAAGTCTATGCTCTTAATTCAGAGATTCATCATAGTTTATACTCCAAAAGGAAGTGTTATTACCTTTCAAATGCAAATGCTAGAATAATCACAATTATAATGGCAAGGAGTAGTGTTTTAAATAAACAGGATCTATATTTCCTGGCTTGATGATCTCAGTGTCACAAGGAGAGACTGGAAAAATAGAAGATAAACTCAAATTTTAGGGCTTCAGCTATTGAGACTTAATGTCTTTTCTCCAGACACTGACTTGGGTACCTTTCCCTGTGGATTCTTTTCAACCATCTGTGCCCAGGAGGGCTCAGAGTGTAGACTATACCCTCAGTACCCAGTCATCCATCTCCCCATCTGACAGTACAAGGACAGTCACCTTCTTGCTGGAGTCATTTAGCTGTTCAGGCCTGAATATCTCTGCGGCGCCGGCCAAAGGCTTTGGAACCCACATTGGTGGGCATGAAGTTATTCTTCACCACACCCCCTGATCTGCTCAGCAAGCCTGCCAGCCGATGGGTCACGCAGGTGGCAGTGTTGCAGGCCCTCTTCTGGGCAGTGACACTGATTTCCAGGATGAAGAAAGAAGAGAAGACCTGTCAGTGACAGGCTAGTGGGAGGAGCCTGGCCCATGGGACCCTGTGGTAAAGTTGCTGCTCTGAGAGGCACTAATTAACCTTAAGTGTTTCTTTTAAACACAATTATCAGAGCAGAAAATCACAAGACCATTAGGGAAAATGCCATGATCACTCCCCATAGACATTCCCAGGGGTGTTGGAAAAACCAAAGGTGACTCTGGGTGACTGGCCATGGAACTCAGAGCTGTAACAGCCAATCTTTCCAGTGTAATCAGACTAACAATCAGCAAAGGCTTGAGAGATTAGAGGGTATTACGGCTCCACAGCCAACCCTACTTACAAGGACTGTAGAATCCATACCCCAGTCATAGGCACCAAAAACCCCTTCTTAGGAAAACAAAAATTCCCCAGTCTTACCTGGAAGAGGAACAGGGTTTGCAGCATCCAGTCCTGGAAGGTGCTTACCTGCTCCTTGGAATGCTGGTTCTCGCTGCTTGAACTCGATCACAGGGAACACCCACCATACCCTGTGTCCAGCTACCCCGGGGTGAAGGCTACTTCTAAGCACATGTCCTGGACACCATGAAGCCTGGGACATTGGCCAGAGCAATGACCACCACAGCTCAGGTCTTTTTAGAAAAATAGTTTTATTCCCCCAATTACTAGCACATTCATAAGCAGGATGGAGAAGCTCTGCTATGGAATCCTGGGGGGAACTCAGGGCTGCCCTCACTCTCTGACTTCTTCCTGGATGATTCTCTTCCAGCCTGTGAATCCTGCTCTCTCTCCTCCCATCTGAGGCTCCAGACATTCTCTGCCACAAGGAAAGCCACTGATACCAGCCCGAAGAGCAACCAGAGAGGAACCACATGCATCAAGTTATAGGAAGGAAGCAAGAGAGGAAATTAGAAAGGAGAGGGAAAAGTTTAGTTGGCATCCTGGGGCATGCTGACATGACGTTGATGGTCTCTCTCCAAGTCGCTTTCCATATCCCTTTTCTTGCCAGGTGCTCCAACCCCAATTGCAGTTTGGGGGAAGGTGTGAAACTTGCTGAGGTCCTGCGTATATGTGCCCAGCATGCAGGTACTCAGATTACTGCAGCGCTTAGATCTGGGGCTGTCCAGGCTGCAGGGAAAAGACATGCCAGACAGTACCATGCACCAGGGTCTGCCCCTGTTGGCAGTCACATGGAAGACTGAACCAGGCAGGGGGCACTTTGAGCAGGGACAGGAGGGGCAGGCAGGAGGGCAGTTCACACACCCTGCATTAGGAGAGCTCAGAGGTGCAGTGGGTCAGGGCAGTGTGGGGAAGGGCTGTGGTGAGGAAGGGTGACATTTTCTGGCATTCCACATGCTGTTTAGTCCTTCATGCTGGCCAGAGGGGTTCTCAGGGTGGATGCAGGTGCAACTCATGCCTCTGCCGGGGTACCACTGGGGCTCGGCCAGGCACTGATCTCTGCTCAGGCTCGGCGTGCACAGGGAGGTGGGGCTGGGGAAGGGTGCTCTCTCTGGCCCCGCGACAGCATGCACATCTCCACAGATGCTGCACATCTAAAGGCCCCGACCTACCTCAGACACTGCTCTACCTGTCCCCACCCCCTGCAAGGGCTTTGCCTTCACCTCGCAAATGTGAACTGAAGGCTCCTTGCAGGTGTGAAAGAACAACAAGCACAGGTGAACTTTCTAAAACCTGGTCCATTCCCTGGCTTCGCACTTACCACTCCTACCTCATCCAGTGCTTGGAGGTCTCCCCAGTACTCCAAGACCAATTCCCACAGTGAGCGATTCCACACCTTCCCTAACTGCTTTCAGAAATGGATCTTTTTAATATGTCTAACCACAGTCCCTCCAGCTGCAACAGGATCCTCCGTTGTCCATAAAGCCTGAGAATGGCTGGGCCCCACGTCCTGATGAACACCCACAGCCTGCGGTTCTCCCGGCCAGTGTGTCCTCTCCTACATCTTGGGATCTACTCTCCTGAGTATTTGGGGGAGAGGAGGCCTTAGGTTGGGCTGCGTGGGGAGCCTCACCTGGAGCCCTCTGTCTCCTGCTCCTGTTCCAGCTCCTGCTCCAGCTCCAGCTCACTGGCCTTCATCTGCACATAGTCCTGCATCAGTGCAGCCAGCAGGAGGCGCGCTTCCTCCTCACTGAGTGTGGCCGGGTCTGGGCTACTCTCCAAAGCAGACCTGCAAGGGGAAGCAGACCAATGCAGGCTCTGAGCCCCTGTTGCTTGCTCCCCAGGATAAGTAGCCAGACTTCCTGGTCTCTGCTTCTTCCCCTGAGGATGTGGCTGTCCCAATTCACAGTGGACAGGGCTTGGGAACCAGGCACTGGTGTAACCTCCAAGCAGTGTGTGTTGGAACCAGTTCATACACACGTGTGAAAGAGGATGATTAAATTTTCAGGAATTTTGCAGCTGAGTGATAAGTACAGCCATTATTAAAAATTAAATGATAAAACTTACAATTAATGCTGAATCTGTAAATGGTTTTAATTTAATAAATATAATATGGACGTGGGTGAGAAATAGATCAACAGATCACATATCAGATTTAATACCAAATTTATTGGTAAACTAGTTAGCAGATTAGGATGTAAATTCATTTCTCAAATCATGGCTGAAATAGATAAATAGTTCAGTTACAGATGCAAAAGTTTGGTAAAAAGAAATGATAGCATTTTGTGAGAGTCAATGGCTGTGAGAAATTTAAATAAAGAGTATTATATGTCTTGTTACTATTTGTAATTTGTGTGCTATACATCTTTATACCAGGAAAAGCTTTTAATAAATTACATGCTAGTATACATACATGCATGTCCTCCCCTACCCCTAAACATTCAGCATATCACAATTAAGAGACACAAAGCTATCTGATCGTAGGGGCAGTGGATACAGAGTGTGCTCCTGGCTTAAGACCGTCTCACCTGAATGGCGCTGCCTGGAGGCTGCCGGCCTGGTACAGGACCAAGATGCTGAGAGCCAGGAAGTGGGAGAACTTCCAGAAGCCCATGACGCCTCTCTGTAGAGGGAGAATGAGTTAGCACTGCACCAGTTGGAAGGTTTATGAGCCCACAGACCCGGGGCTCCTGTCCTGCGTCTCCCCTGCCTCTAACTCCCTGGCTTCTTGGGTTCGGACTGGTCACTACATTTCTCTTCATCTTTGTTTCCTCATCAGCAAAGTGGACTGCTGGAAGGTCCAGTGGTCTGTAGCGTGCACGGTTTGCCAAAACTGGAGGAGCGATCTTAGCGGGACAGCTGGGGGGATGGGGGGAGGTCAGGTCTCTGTTGAGGACATTCTCAGAGCCTGCTGTCACAACGGCTGCTCCCATAAGGAAACCCAGAGCTGTCCTCCCTGTGCGGGGCTTTTGCAAACAGTTGGGGGTTGAGGTGGGGCAGAGAGGGTAGGTAGAGAGGGAATATCTCTGCTGGTGGAATCTCTGAGAAACTGAAGAACCAATTCAAGTGCTCAGCTGCTCCGCCCTCTGGCAATTCAGTCCCCTGAGAGAACCAAGCTTAGCAGAGTCTTAAGTTGGGACCCAAGACTTCTCTGTGCTCCCAGAGCCCGCGCCGGGGGCTTGCAGTTTAGGGCTGGCTGCCTCTCAGTCGTTGCTCCCGTTTACCACCCAGTTGCGCTGGCCCAGGTCCCAGGGACCCCCTAGGCAGCAGACGCGATCCCCGAACGCACTGTCTGCGGAACGCTCCTCCTGCGTCCTTTTCCGTGTGCGATGCTTGGGGAGCTCGAGTGTCCGAGTCCAGCCTAAGCATGTGCGCCGCGCAATAGAGACGGGGGCCCGCAGCCGCGCGGGGAGAGCGGAGCCAGGAGCCTTCGGACTGAGCCTGTCCAGTGCTACCTGGGGCAGGAGCCCGGGACGAATCCGGGGCTAACAGAGACCGTGGATGACGAGACCGAGACAGAAATGGACAGAGAAACTGAGACTGGCAGAGAGATAACTGAGATACTAATGGAGAGAAGCGGAAGGGATGTGAGGGAGAGGGCGAAATAGAACGATACACCTGAGCAGGAATCTCGGGGCTCACCTGGCGGGCGGTGGCTTGGAGCAGAGGCGGCGACGGCTCCTGCGGCTGCGGCGGCGGCCAGCGAGGGCCCTGCGGAAGCGACGGCGACACTTGGGCTGGGCAGTGGCTCCGACGTCTCCCAGCGCCAGCGGCTGCTCTTATTCCCGCTGCCGTGGGTCGGGAGGGGTCCCCCGAGCGCCAGGCAACCAATGGGTGGAGGGGTCCCGTGCCCCGGCCAGATTGCGTCACCCCCATGCTTCCAGAACCTGGAGCATCCAGCAGGACGGCCCCACGTGTGTTTGCACTGAGGTCATTAATTAAAGTGTGTGTGTGGGGGGGGGGAGGGGAGGATGGTGGGACCAACGAGAAACATCCTTAAAGCGAGCGGGAATCTGAGGGCAGTTTGACGTCACGGTAGATTTCACCTCTTCAGTTCCGCTTGGTTTGAACACACGCCCCGCTCCACCCCCAGCTGTGGGGTCTTAGAGGCTGGGTTCAGGATTACAGGGACTCCTGGCTCCCCCAAATCTGACCCTAGACCCCCGCCCAAGAGAGGCTTGGAGGGTTAACGCGCCACAGAGTGGATTCTGGGATCAAACAGGGTGTCTGATTCTGGCAGCTGGTATTACCTACAGAGGGTTTCAGGAGATGCAACTGGGGTAAGAGCTCTGTTAGACCCGAGCTCAACTCCACCTGCGCCAATTCCAGGCTGAGTGATAACGGGCACGTAACTTCACAGAGCCTTAATGTCCTCATCCTTGAAACGGGGACCGTAGTCCCATCTTGAAGGAATGCTGTGAAAAGTAACCCGGTGCTAAGTAGGGATCTGGAAGATTTTCCTGGTCCACATAGGGGATTCCGTCAGATCTAGACTGATACTTCCCGAGTCCCCACCTCGCCATACTGCCTGAGCTCTCCCTGGGCGGTGCCAGGGTGCTATTCGGATCGGTCTCATGTGTGAGGAGGGGGCAAATGCTGGGCCTGAGGGGCGAGGCGCAAGGGACAGATGCTTCTGAAGCCTCAACCCAGAACTCTAGCCCTCCCCCTTCCTGCCCCGCCATCCATCACCTCTCATTCAGTCTTCCTGCCTGAGCCATTTGCACAGCTGCCCCTTTGCTTCAGGCTGCTGTTTGCCAAGATGTCCCAGCGGCATTCCATTCCGGCCAGCACCCCCACCCCCGCACTTCGGTCCTCGACTGAAGATCAGGCAGGCTTGACAGTGCTGTGGAGTCCCTGCCTAGACTAGAGATCACACTCACTTCCAGTCACGCACCTCCACACACACACTAGCTCATTACTGTTTCCAAACATGGAAGCACAGACACAAAACAGACACTGGCGCTCAGGGGTATCACTGTCAAACATGTCCCAAGCCTGCATCCGAGTATCGTGCAGTCGCATCCACACACCTGCATGATGCTGATCTGCTCCCATCATACCTGCAGGCACTGTCAAGAACAGGTGCGCTCCATCACGCCCAGTTACGCATGACCTCTCCCCCTCTCACACTCAGCACACTAGGTTTCCAGACCACTCTGCCTGAGCATTAAGCCCCAGACTCGCCCAGAGGGCCAAGGCAGCGTCTAGGGTGAGGAGAAAGAACTTTATCTGCGTCCCTGGTACAACCCGGGTCTAAGCGCGCAGCGTGTGATCCGCAGCAGCCTGTTCAGAAGCTGTCAACTCGGGGGGCGCAGCAGCTGCATGTGGGTGTGGGGGGGAGTCGACACCCCAGTCCTCAGTTCCCAGAAGCTTCGGCATTTCCTAGGACACACTCGCGCCACATCTTTTCCCCTCTCGTGAGCTGGTGTCCTCCGCGACCAAGGAGGCAGCGGGAACGCCTAACTTCCAAGAAGCCCCTATTTGACGCTCTTCCTTCTTAACCCCTGGGGTGGCACTACTACGAGGGAATAAAAGCTCGGAGTTGGGGACCCTGTGCCTGAGACACTCTTCTCAGGGCCCCGCCGGTAGGGCGGTTGCGGGGCCCGGGATTGGAAGAACTGGCTGCGCGTCAGACGCAGACCTGGAAAGGCGAGCTGCACACGGGCAGAGCGCGTGATGGCGCGTCCCCGGGCACAGTGCTAACTGCAGCCTGCAGGCAGACACCAACGTCTGAGACCCAGTCCGGGGCTTCGAGGTTTTTCAGCAGATTAGGTTCCGAGCCTGGCTTGGGCTTTCTGTCCGGAGCTGCGTGACGAATTGGCGAAGGTCGCTGTGCGGCCACTACGTGGCGCGCAGTGCTTGAGCAGCTGCCACTTGGGACTGTTGCAGAAGCGTACGAGTATTCGCGCTCGAGAGCCAAATACTCCTGCGGAGATGACTTCCTTTTCCAAGACTAGAGGTTTCTAACATATGAACCCCCCGAAATCGTTCGTAAGAACGTGTGTCCGTGATGTGCACTTTCCCAGGGAGAAAACCCATAGCTTTCACTTGTGTAATGGTGACTGCAAAAGGGTTAAGAAACCACTCGTCTAGAGGAAGATTTCGGAGCTCTGCCCTTGGCGGCTGAAACCACAGGCTGGTGCCCTGGGGACACTAACCAGAGTCAGCGTCCAGAGGGCGCTAGTGTAGCCTCGAGCAGAACAATTTCAAATCTTACGTTCTTAACGATCGGTCTCTCCAGAGACTGGAGATCAAGTCCTCCGTCAATCACTGTTAGAGCCTGTAGTAAGTGTGTCTGGCGCTGTGCTGGGGGCCAAAGCTTAAAAAGGGGGGGGGGGAAGGGGTGAGGAGGGAGGGGAGAAAGAGAGAGAGCGAGAGAGCGAGCCCTTTTCTCAGGCAGTTAGCACCATGCCATACACTAGTAGGTGCTCTGCCAACGTTAAATGAATGGAAGTTAATTCATTCTGGCAAATTCACCAATAGGTCTCACAAGTATCCTGCAGAAAATCCGGACCAAGTTAGAGTGGCATTCCTCTTGGATTCAGTTAGAAGCGCATACCGTTCAGCCAGACGCCTCCAATTTTATATGGCACACCGAATCGGTTCCCTGATAGAAGTTTCCAAGAAGGAGCCAGGGAAGTCAGAGTTTCCCCTGGGGTTCTTTCTGAAGACTAGGGTCTCCTGGTGCGAAATGCAAAACGGTTCTCCTCACAGCCCATCCCTAATTTACCGAGTGGAACCTAAAGAAGTTTAGACCGTCCCTTGAGCGGATCGCTTTGATTTCGTCCTGCTATACTTGCAACTTTTCTGAATTTTAGGGCTAAACAGAGCATGACCTAGCGAAAGTCGCCAAAGAAAATACTGATTGAAAAAAGGTCTCTTGATTTTTTGGCCCTTGATTCTACTATCTTATTTCATAAGTTTTAAATCTGGAAATCAGGGTCGGTTTTGAAATAACCTTGTTTGGAGAAAAATATTTTTGGAAACGCTCTAATAAATATTAATTGTAATGTTGGTTCCCATTCGTTTAAATCAGATTCCTGTACTCTAATTTAGAAATAAAAATAAAGATGAAATCTGGTTGAAAATTCTTATGTGAATTTCCATATGATTAAAAGTGTTACACCTAAAGGCTTACTCTTCTAATTGAGCAAGCCAGTTGTGAAACAAACAAAACAAAACAAAAAAGCATTTTCGAAGTTCAGAGCTCAAGTTAAATTTATTGCTTTTGTACAATTCAACTATGATATAGACTCAAGAACAACAGAATCAAAACAGTAACAACTGCAACACCAGCAGGAGTGACAATCCAAACCCATTCTCTTCAGCCTGCTGGAAATTTGGAGCTGTCAAATTAACATGAGAATCTCTACTTAAAGTCGACAGTACTGAAACCAAAGTTTTCCACCATTGAGTTTACTGAAGAACATGGGAGGAGAAGTGATTCCTTTGTAATCATTGTCCTAAGACATGTTAGAGTGCAAGAAAGCCCCTACTGAGGGAGGAAAGACAGACTGCTGCCAAAGAGTCAGCAAGATTCACAATAGCCAAGATATGGAAACAACCTAAGTGTCCATCAATGGAAGAATGGATAAAGAAAATGCGATAAATATATGTGCACGATGGAATATTATTCAGCCTTAAAAAGAAGGAGATGCTGTCATTTGCAACTTCATGCCTACTGTTGACTCTCAACAGTAGAAAGCGCTACTGTACTCCCTCCTGGAGATCATTATGCTAAGTGACATAAGCCAGGCACAGAAAGACAAATACTGCATGATCTCACATATACTTGTATGTGGAAACTAAAAAAAAAAAAAAAAAAAAAAAATGAAACCCAAAAAAAAAAAAAAAAAAAGGGAACTCATAGAAATC